CTAAAGCTCTGGAGCTTCAAAGGGCTCCCATACAGGTATCATAAACACACCTTCAAGGAATATAGCATGCCCTCACTTACAGTCAGCACAACAAAACCATTGGCTGAAAACACACTCATAGCCAAGATTTGCAGAGTGGTCTTCCAATCTCCACCATTTACAGCATGGCACCAAACACACACATTGGTATTGTCACAAGGAATCTTCCCTTAAACAAAGACTAACCATAGACTTATTGGCACCACACACCTCCGCTACCCCAAGTCTCAACTCCCTTCTTACTATACAACACCATTGATCTACCTTTACAGCTATCACTCAAGCATGGGTTAAAGCTTGGTTAAGTAAGACCAATATCATCAACGCAGTAAACAGCTACCATCTACCCTACACACTGGCACTTACATGGCATAAATTGGGCAATCCTTTCCCTGCTCAACTTTCGAGCTACAGATTAACCTACTATCGATATTCGCAGATACTCTGTGCTGGTTATGATAACATATCCAGAGGCATTACAGTCATACACTATCTAGAAGACTTCTTGTTGCTCAAAGAAAGCATATTTTTCACTAGAAGCCTCATGGCAGCTTAGTCTGGTTGACCACTTGGGTGTCCCAGTACCCCATAAGAAACAGAAGGCGCAGACACTATCATCACATTACTGGGCATATGACTTGAGTCGGCATCCATACACGCAAGTTACCACAAGACAAATAGGAAACATTCTCAACTAAATCAATCACTACCTCCTGCTTAGTACTTACAACTACAAGGAACTACAATCCCTACCAGGTTCCTTAATTTTGCCATGCCAATCATACCACAAGACCACGCTTTCACATCCAGAGTACTTTCCCCTTTTTTCCACACCTCCAACATGACGATCAGAGGAGGTGCCTAGACACCTCAGCAACAGCAGACCTGCACATGGGGGGGGGGGATTTCTTAACCACTTGGCATGGTAAAAGCAGGTTCCTTCCAGGATTGTCTGACACTTCTCCAACCAGATGGTCAGACGCAGCGTATACCACTGGTTTGGCAGCGATCTACCGGGAACAATTGCTTTGGAGCTGTTGGCCATGGCATCCAGGTTTGGAAATGTTTCCACCACTTCAGCCCCTTTGGGAGATCTACCCCATTGTAGCAGCTGCTGTGGCATGGGGTAAATCATGGTCAGGGTCATCAATCCGTTGTTACTCAGACAACTAAGCACATATCATCAACAAACGCCACTACTCATCCATAAGTTCATGATGTTTCTGGGGAACTCACTTGGTTGGCCACTTATCACATTTCACTTTCATGTACCAGACGGGGGTATACATCCCTGCCGACAACTGTCTCATTTATATTCCAGGCATGTTCATCATACAGCTCAACCTGTGTCACAAAATTTCTCCTAAGTTTTCTTATTTTTGCCACCTTAAACTTAAACTATCTCATACACCATTAATTATATATTTTACAGGCATTCAACAACACATGATAACCTATGGCCAAAACTACCATAAACTTCATGCTATCATACCAGAAAAGAATATACTCAGAGGTTTTCAGAGCTTTTTTAACAGGTAAAGTTAGTCTCACGTTCCTCTCAGAGATTACCAATAACCATCCAACTGTTCATCCTTATCGTACCTATTAGATCTACAACCATTCAATTATACTACCAAGTCGGCCATTACCAGCCATGCATATTGCCTTTTATGCCTTTCTCAGGCCAGAGAATCCACTACCATCACCACCACTCAGACAGATCATTGTCTTCAACGATCCCACGTACGTAAACACATATATCATTACCTATTGGCTCTACCACATTCCGAAATGAGTCAACATGCACCAACAGTAGAGATAACATACTATCCTACCTACAACAAATGGTGCCCACTTTCGGTCCTAGATTCCTACCTTCAAAATCCTTTCAGGAATTAAAGACTGTAATGCATTTAAGGAAATGTCTGGTTAATTTGTATATATTTGTTGACTGTATTAAATCTTTTGATTATTCATTTTTGCCCTCTTTATTTACAGGCCTACCGTATCGTCGGTATCGGCACACCACAACCGACTTGCTCCCTTTACACTATCCTAAGCTTATGCTGGATCCTTACTCCATATACGGCTATTTTGCCCCTTACACAAGTATTAAGGCAGTTTTGTCTGTATTTGTGGGAGGGGCTTAAATTAATTCACTCCCCTATATAAGGGACACCCCTTACCTGACTCATATCGCTTGAGGTCAGTATCAGAATGACCCTCCCACCCACTCCTCATTTCAACACTTTCTCTTTTCTTTCCATTTACTTTACTTTCTTACTCCTTGGTGGGCCCTCTTTATTTACAGGCCTACCGTATCGTCGGTATCGGCACACCACAACCGACTTGCTCCCTTTATAATATCCTACGCTTATGCTGGATCCTTACTCCATATACGGCTATTTTGCCCCTTACACAAATATATGTATATATATATATATACACTACAGCACCCCTCACACGGTACCACTACACACATTACACTCCAGATACACGCTAGATCCCTTACCCTATATGCACTCTTAATCCTCTACACACACACACACACACACACTCTGAGTCCTTTACACACTAGATCTCCTACACACACACACACTGCCCCTAGCCACACATATTACACCACAAACACAAATGAAATTGACCTATTTACACTATACCACACCACACTCTACACACACGCAATCCCACAAGCAGGCTCCAAACACATGCGCCAAACGCTTTCCTGGCCCTTTTGTCCTCTGGTATCCCACTTGTGGAGACACCAGAGACAATTTAAAAACAAACACAGCGCAAGCATATTATTAAATTTGCTTGTGTTGCGCAGAACAAATACAGGTCCTTTTTCTAATGCTAGAGCTCTTCAGCAGGGCTCTGCACATTGAACCAACATGCTCAATTTGAGAGGGGGCGTGCTTGTCTCTAGCCCCGCCCCCTACTTAGGGGGCTGCTCTGATTGAAAAATGCCCGGGCCTAATTTTTTTCCAAATCCGGCCCTGTATAGAAGGGTGTAAGGTGCTTCATGGGAAGAATCTGTAACCCCATCAGATGCACAGTAGGAGGAAGGAGGGCTAGACACCAAAACGTTGGGGTTGCTTTATCTCCTGCTCTAGGTTTGTATGCCTATAATATTATGGGTTTGTGGGATTTGTGGGATAAGCACGTTTCTCTATTCTTGATAGGTTATATATCAGTTTTGGCAAACCTATGGCACGTGTGCCACAGCTGGCATACCGAGTCCTCTCTGTTGGCACACAGCCATAGGTCACTGGGGGCACCAAATTTGAGCGCTCCCTTCTGCCAGTCACTCTGAGTAGCGTGGCCGGGCGGCTTAGACCACGTTATAGGAATTTCAGTTTCCTGTACATGGCTGGACTGAAAGGAAGTGCTCACTGAGAGAGCATTTCCTTTCAGTCCAGCCGGGTACAGGAAACAGAAGCTCCTGTACCACGGTCCGCACCACCCGGCCACACTACACAGGGAGGGAGAGACCACTAAAGGGGGGGTAGAGAGGAGAGACCACTAAGGGGTTGGGGGAGAATAATAGGGAGGAGGAGAGACCACTAAGGGCATGGGGGAGAGGAGTGACCACTAAAGGGGGGGAGAGACCACTAAGAGGGAGAGGGGAGAACTGACCACTAAAAGGGGTGGGGAGAGACCACTAGGGGTGGGGGAGAGGAGTGACAACTCAAGGGGAGCGGAGAAGAGAGAACACTACTGGGGAGAGGAGGACCGCTAAAGGGGGAGAGGAGGACCACTGGGGGTGGAGAGAGAGACCACTAAGGGGGTGGAGGGAGAGGAGTGACCACCAAAGGGTGGGGGAGAGAAGAGACCACTAAAGGGGGGAGAGGAGAGACTACTAGGGGGAGGAGAGACCACTAAGGGGTGAGGGGAGAGGAGAGACCACCAAGGGGTGGGGGAGAATAATAGGGGAGAGGAGAGATCACTAAGGGGGTGGGGAGAGAGGAGGACCACTAAAGGAGGGGGGAGAGAAGAGACCACTAAAGGGAGAGAGAGAGACTACTAGGGGGAGGAGAGACCACTAAGGGGGTGGGGGGATACGAGTGACCACTAAAGGGGGGAGACACTAAGGGAGTGGGGGGAGAGGAGTGACCACTAAAGGGGGGAGACTACTAAGAGGATGGGAGGAGAGAAGAGACCACTAAAGGGGGGAGAAGAGAGACTACTGGGGGGGGGAGGAGAGAACCACTAAGGGACAGGGGAGAGCTCTAAGGACGGAGGGGACAGCTCTAAGGGAGGGAAGGAGAGAGAGCACTCTGGGACAGAGAACACTAAAGGACAGTGAGGCAGGGGAGATCACAGGGTGACAGGGAGAGAACTAAGGGATGGGAGGGAATGGGAGAGCACTAAGGACAGGAGGGGAAGGGAGAGCACTAATGGTGTCTGTGTTTCTGTGAGTGTCTTTGTATCTGTGATTATGTGTGTGTCAGTGTTTGTGTATCTGTGAGTGTGTGTGTATCTGTGAGTGTCAATGTGTATAAGTTTAATTGCCGTGTTGGCACTCTGAGGAAAAAAAGTTGGTTTTTATTGCGGTTTGGGCACTCGGGCTCAAAAATGTTCGCCATCACTGCTATATATAGATTTGTGATTTAATGTTGATGTGCCTATGCTGTTGTTTGCAATTTTTTGGTACTATTTTTTATTGAATCACTGGATTAATAAATCTTTTTATATGCAAATTTAAATTGGTGTGCTTTGTGTTATTTCCGACAAAGCATAATATACAGTCAATGTTTACAGATCTGCTATTTCTGCAGGACATAACGGATTGGAGGGTTCCCAGGTCGGAAAACATCCTTTCGTTTGTCGACTACTAAAGGGAATCAGATTCGCTAGACCCACAAGAGCAAAATACTCATTGTTTTGGGATGTCAATTTGGTGTTGAATTTACTGGACTCTTGGCTTTGAGATGGTGAATTATCTCTCAAGCATCTTTCATGGAAACTACTGATGCTCCTATGCTTAATATCTTGCAAATGAGTTTCGGATGTCAGAGCTTTGTAGTGGACCGCAATATCCTTCACTCCAGCCAAATCAGCCACAAAAATGATTTTTTATTTGAAGTACAATGACAAATCAACATTGTGTCCGGTTACTTGTTTACGTTCTTACCTTGATCGTACACGGACGTTACGATCATCCTCATCTATTCGTTACATTCCATAAACCTCATCTTCCAGTCTCTACTCCTACTCTAGCTTGCTGGATATGTGACCTACTATCACTGCCGGGTATAGATACTTCTATGTTTTCAGCTAATTCTGGAATAGGCGCCATGGCCTCTAAAGCCTCTATGGTGGGTTGCCTTCTCGATGACATATTGAGAACTGCAGATTGGTCACACAAATCCACATTTCGTGACTTCTACTTCCGCCCAATTGACAATTTCTCTTCTCGGATTGTTGCTCAGTTTTGAACTAGCATAATAGGAGCCTCTGTGTCATTAATAAAATGTCCAGATTTTACTATTAACATTCCGAAAAGTCATTATTTTATTAATGACACAGAGGTGAGTACTATTCCCACCCACCCTCCCGGTGGTATTCTTGACTAGTGCATACGTTGTGAATACTTTACGATAAATGTCGGTTAATATCGATTTAATCCAAGGCTGGATTTTACCATATCTCTTTTTTTGTCATTTGGGCAGCGCTGACTGATTCCTATTATGTGCACAATAAGGGGAACATGAGTGTCTTATTCATAGAACAAGGGGAATCCCCTGTCTGTCTGGTTCACATTACAGTGGGACCTCGGTTTACGAATTTAATGCGTTCTCCGGGACGTTTCTTATTGCAAAAAATTTGTAAACTGAAACGCGGTGTCCCATAGGAATGCATTGAAAACCAATTAATCTGTTCTGGAGGTCAGAAAAAAGTCAAAATGAGCTGGCATGGAAACCAACCCACAATGCAGAACACACAGTAAAAGGCATGCAAACGACAAAGCTCAGCTCCCTACCTTTCCACAGCTTGAGAAATGCACCAAAAAGTCTCAAAACAACTGCAAACATTTTCCAGAATGGCTCCAAAACTCGATGGAAAAGCCACTCTAACACCTCCACACTCGACGCCACGTGCTATCCACAGGCTCCAGCATGCAGGGGGTGGTGCTATAAACCTCCCAGGTGCAATGCATCTTGGGAAAACTTGCTTTGTATTGCAAAAAAAAATGGATTTTCATTTGTAAACCGAAAATTATGTTAACCGAGGCATTTGTAAACCGAGGTCTCACTGTACATGCATTTATTTTATTCCCTCTCTCCTTTTTTCTGTTTTATTTCATTTCTGATTCTGTCTGATTTGTTTTCACTCAATGATGCTCTACCCACTTACCTTTTTTTTCAATGATGTGTGCCAAATTCACTGTCTGTATGTCTGTCTGCCTGAATGTTTTTCCGTGTGATCTTCTGTCTCTGTAACTTCCTGATTCTCTGTCTGTCTGACTGTATAATTCTATGTAAGTCTCTCTATTTGTCTGATTCTGTCAGAATGTCTCCCAAGTAAAGGTTAACTCTGCCTCATATTCCTTAGTGGATGATATCATATAATTTCTTTTGTTTAATCCTTAATTGTTTCAAGTTGTTCTAATTACGGTTGCCTGTTTAAACATTCCTTTGTGGCTTCCCAGGGCTCAATTATTAAGCTCTGCTTTTAGCAAGTGTGAAAAAAAACAACCTTCCCCTACAGCCTTGGTACATGTGTACTCCAAGTGACCTGTCCGGGCATTTGACCTCGGTTCTTATACCCTGACCAGATTTATGAGATCACCCTTTCATCTTAAATTCATCATTGACTTCTGATCTTGGCTCTCATGTCACGACTAAACTTATGGATCATTATACTGTGCTGTTTTACAGACTCTGTTGTAGCTTTTTTTAAATAATCAAAGTATATACAAAACGGCAGAGCTAAAGGGACACGATAGGCACTAAAACAACCTCAGTTTAAGAAAGCAGTTTTAGTGTGAATAGATTATGCCCCTGCAGTCTCACTGTTCAGCTCTCGGACATTTATGGGTTAAATCACTTTGTTTATGCAGCCCTAGTCACACCTCCCTGCATGTGGCTTACACAGGCTTCCTAAACACTTCCTGTAAATAATCTTCTGATGTTTAAACGTCCTTTATTGCACAGTCTATATAATTAAGAATTTCTTATCCTCTACTCTGTTAATAGGCTGCTAGACCCTGCAGGAAAGATGTATTATTATTTTTGCTATACTAATATCTACAGTTAATAAGCCCTCCTAAATAGATTTTTATTTCTACTGCTTGTGTTGGTGTATCTGACATTTTTGTTTATTTACAAATTTCATATTATAATAAATTTATCACTTTATTGCAAAATGTAAGCAAACATTGCTAATTAGTCACATGGTGGCTATTTTGACCTAAATATTGCAATTCAGGTTTCAATTTACTACTATTAGTGTGTTGTGAATTATCAGCTGTGACTTCCTTGCCTTACTCATGATGTTCTGTTTTTACTTACCATATTCTCTCTAATTTGTTACTTTTAACGTTGCAAGTTGATCGTGTCCTTTTTGCTCCTTATGAAAGAATTACTGATAGTAGACTTGAGCAATGAGCATTTCAGTTTTCAGCCGAAACGGAATTCAATCAAATTTCAGCCAAACAGCCAAACATATATCTAAAGCGCCATGTGTACATAAAACCAAGCAAACAATAGGATGGAAATAAAAGGGGAACAGAATGGAGAGGAAGCTGATTTTTTTTTGTAAGGCAGAGCCTATAAGCAGTTTAGCTTATCATGATGGACAAGAGGTGTATCCAATGATTTGGGCGGTATCTCCTATCCAATCAAGAGGTGGAAAAAAAGCAGAGCCATTTTAATTAAGAGGTATGGCAGAGTGACAAAGTACTATCCCCAGTGTCCTGTCTTGGTGTTGATAGCGGTGATAAATCTAGTGATAATGATATTGCTATTTCCCTACTGCAAACATAGCACTTTTATCTCTAGCCCAGAAGCTACTCGACTATAAATATGAAACAGTGTGAAGAGGAAAGTGTGGAGATGTCAGACAGCATCTCAGTATTTTCTCTGACAAGTAGTATATGCTCATCTCAAACTGCTAAGGGATACAGCAATTCCATATAAATGGGAAACACCCTTGCTTGAAAGTTTGTATATCATTGGAGAATTGGTAATATATGTACCATTTTTAAAGAAAACACGAGTGAGCAGGCAAAACACATTTCTTTTATTTCTTATGGAATTCATATTCAACTGTAGGTTATAACAGAATGGCACAATCATAAAACAAAACATGGCAACAAAGAAAAAATGAAATGACCCCTGTTCAAAAGTCTGCATACCCTCTATAAATTCTAATATCCAGGAGGGCAACTATAAAAGAATCACTAGATGGCACTTTTCGCCAGCTCATCTACATACCCTCATTCCAACAACAACCGAAAACTGTTGGCTTTGCAAAGACCTTCCTGTTCTACTTGTTTCATTCGCCACTGCCTAAACACACTTCAACGCTACTTATACACCTTCTGACAGCTTCCATCCTCCTAATTCCCCTAAACTGGAAGAAAAACTTTGTTTCTCCATCTCCCACAAAAACTCCCTCTACAAAAAGATATGGGACCCATGGTTGAACTTCATACAGGAAGAAGCCAGGTCCTAAACCTCCCCTCCACTTCCTTTCCCTCTCCTTACTACATTCATGCCTGCTTCTTACCCTTCAGAGATAACGGAGCGCCAAAGCTATCTAGCTAGTTAGCTAGTTACTGTAAGACTAACATAAGGACATTTTAGAACCTCTAATTTTCCAATAATATTTTGGTGTATCTCCAATAGTTCATACATATAGATAAGTTATCTTAATACCTACACTTTCACCGAAACGACAGCATACATCTACTTAGTCACATCTGGTCACACAGATACCTCAGTTTCTGTTGAAACATGATTACACAACTTATATACAACCAGAATGGTTGTCCACAGATACACCATTTGGGTACAGACTTTTAACACTCAGCACTGATTGCTATTTACATGCATCTTTCCTAATCTGATGTTTTATACTTGTCCACAATGTAACCAGGCGGATGTATTATTCTCTTGTACCTGCACTTCTTTACTATAATAAAGTATATAAAAAAAAAAAAAAGTCTGCATACCATTAGTTTTTAATACTGTGTATTGCCCCCTTTATCATCAATGACAGCGTGCAGTCTTTTGTAATAGTTAAGTGTTCTTGCATAGCAAGACCACTTAATATTATCTCACATATTATTATTCTTATCATTATAGCCAAATTTACCAACCTTAACTCCTCTCACAGTTTTTACACTACATAGACAGTAATATACCAAAACGTTTGGATTGTACCCGATTGATGTGCTATTACTTTGGAACATTTTGCCGAATGGTTCACAGAATATTGTCGTTTTTGTGGTGAAATTGGTACCATAGGAATGAATGTTCAAAACTAGAGTGGGAGCTTTCAAAAGCTGAAAAATCAGGACATGATTTCTAAACTGCCACCACTACCTCATTTTCAAGCCCACCTACACAAATCTTAAATCAAAACGTTCAGCTATCCCTGCTGCCACTAAACATGTCCACAACTAAGCCATAGTCCTGATAGTTTTCACAATATGACCATTTGTTTGCAACTCACGCCATCCATTGACATTCATTGAAACTCCATTCTAGCCAGCTCAAATTTGAAGGGCAATTTCTAAACTGCGACTGTGCCTTCATTTTTAATATTTCAGAGACATACATACTCCACACAGTTACTCTGCCCAGTCCAACCTTTCCACAGTTACTCCAGCCACTCCAACCACACAACAGTTACTCTAGCCACTCCACCCAGTTACTCCGCCCACTCCATTTGTAGACTACTGGTGGAGGCAAGAACACTTCACACAATTTCCCCAGATATTGTAGCTCTTCTAGTTGTGTATGAGGCCCATAATTCTTGCAGGTGATATAGCTGCCCATACGTCTAGGCAAAATGCCTTCAGGTCATGCAAAGTCTTTGGTCATCTTGCATGAACTGCACTTTTGAGATCTCCCCAGAGTCTGTGATGGCCACTCCAGAATCTTCACATTTTTCTGCTGTAACCACTGGAGGGTCGACTTGATCTTGTGCTTAGG